TGTCTCATTCTTCTCTTCTATTTCTTTCATTCTTCACCATATGATAAAAAACGTTCTTCTTTTACTTCACTTCTTTGTTCTCATTTTCTATTAAATTTGGCATGAATGTATGTGTTCATTTTAATTATTGGTTACTGGTAAAAGCCATAAGAGATTGAATTGTTCAATTTTTAATTTCTAGTCTAGTTTAAAGCTAAAAATAAGCTTGATTTCATATGTTGCATGTTTTTGTAAATGTATTGCCCTTGTTTTTACCCTATATGATTTTGGTGTAATAGTTACTGTTAGTAATTGGTTTGATTTCTAATACAATGTTTGCTCGGTTCAATTTCTGATAGAATGTTACATATGAATTTCAAGTTGTTAAAAATTAAATAACGGAATCGTGAGCTACTTCAACCAAATCATCAACCACTATGGATCCGGTAAGAAAATATAGAACACTAGAGTCAACGAACAAAAACAATTAGACTTACAAATTTTGTAAAAAGGTTTGTAAGGGAGGAATATATCGGATGAAATCATACTTGATTGGAGGATTTAGGAATGCGACCAAGTGTCCTAATTTCCCTAAGCATGTAAGGGAGTAAGTGAAGAACTTCATGATTAAAAAACAAAAGGCAAAGGTTGCAAATTTAATGTTTCCCTAAGAGTTTTCTCATGGTATTGGTGAGTATGATGATGAATAAGAACTTGACATATTAAACTCAAGTGGGGTAGCTCGAGTCAAAAGCGTGAGAGGCCCTTAACTAAAAAACCAAGAGCCAAGGGTCTGAATGACTTATTTGTCACTCCCAAAGCTAATCCAAACAAAAAGGGAGGTGTGCATGCAGCTTGTGATAAAGAATTAAGGGAGAAATCTTATAAGGCAATTGAAAGATTTTTCTATGATGACGGAATAACATTAAATGAGCATGAGCCAAATCACTCTAGTTTCAAAGAAATGTGTGAACCTATTAGGCAATATGGTCCCGGTTTGAAACCTCTAAGTATGCATTAGATTAGAGTTCCTCTCCTTAAGAAGGAAGTAGATGACACTGAAAAGGTACTAGAGGATCACAAAATGGAGTGGGCACAAAAGGGTTGTTTAATTTTGATAGATGGATAGCATGATTCTGTCATCCAAAATGATATTGTAAACATCCTTGTCAACTCTCCAATGGGCCCTATGTTCATTAAATCTCTGAACATTCCAGAAATTGTTAAATATGCAAATTGTTTGTTTCATATGCTTGATAAGATGATTGAAGAAGTGGGAAAGTAAATTTAGTCCAATTGGTGACGGAGAATGCATCCAACTACGTTAAAACTAGTACAAAATATAAGTTCATTTAATTATTTCCTTTTCTTTATTTTTTTTATTATTCAAGATACTTAAATATTGAATTTTTTTAGTAAATTGTTATTTGGTTAACTTGTAGGAAAAATATTAGAAGCAAACATATTGAATATTTATTGTACTCCTTGTGCGGCACATTGTATTGATCTCATGTTAGAGGATATTGGAAAACTCACTAAAGTGAAGAATGCACTAAAGAATTGCATATTTATGAATGATTATATATATATATAGGCACATCTCCCTTGTGAACATGATGACGAAGTTCTCAAATAAAAGGAATTTACATAGTTTGACGATAACAATATTTGCAACATCTTTCATCACTCTTGCACAATTCTATAAGCAACAAAACTATTAGAGATATATGTTTATTTCTCAAGAATCGATTGAATCAAAGTGGCCAAAGGAAGAGGGATGAAATAAAGTGGCATCCTACCTTTTACAATATTCATTTTAAAGGAATGTGGTGTATTTTTTAAGTTATTGGGTCGTCTTGTTAAGGTTCTTCGAATAGTTGATGTAGAGAAAGAACTTCCTCTGGGATACATTTATGAAGCTATGGATTTGCAATGAAGGATGAGCACTACAAAGAAGCATTAGAGTATATCAATAGAAGATGGGATTGCCAACTTCACAAACCTTTGCATGTGGCTAGTTATTTTTTAAACTCGGGTCTTATTAACCCTATAAAAAGGTATATTTCATATCATTTTACTTAGGTTATTGTTTTTTTTCAATTTCATCTAGTTGTATTTAGATACATATTTCATGCATAAGGTGGATTTTTCTTGTTTCCCTTAATTTGTGAATTAATGGTGTTGCTATGAGAGAAAGGTGATGTTTTGGTGGTGCTTTGTACAGGTGAAGAGAGCTAGAGGAGAAATTGAAAAGTGTTGCAGCATTTGTGGGCGACATTTCTGGCCGCACTAAAGTATAAAAAGATGAAGATATTTTATTGTTGTTGTTCACGTGAAACCCCTCTGCCAGATATCCACCCCACACGTGAACGGAATCTTTTCCCTAGGTCACAAAAAGGATTAGGGAAAAAATCCCTAGGATCCCCCACTATATAAAGATAAGGACACCCTCATTAAAGGTAATTTTGGAAAGTGTGAGATAAGAGAGAGAAAAGGGAAAACTGCCACTCCATCTTCTTCCTTCTTCTCTCATTCTTCGTGGTGTCCTCCATTTTCGAAGATCCAAGGGGATAGCAAGCTAGGCCTTTAACAGAAGCTAGAGAACTAGAGGTAGCTCACGATAGCTCACGGCTTGGGAGTTTTCCTTCTCCTTTGGTTACTCTTAATTATTATTTATCTTTGTTGGGTTGTAATGAAACGAATGATGTTGGATGATATTTGACCTGCCATGAACTAAATTTATTTGGTGTGGGTTTATTATGGATGATGATGTTTTTGGTTAATGAATGATTAGTATTCTCTAGTTTTAATGTTTGCTTTGTTCATTGTTTTAATGTGTATACTTGTAAGAGCTTTCAATTGATATCCTTTTTTTATGTTTAATGCTTAATATCGAGAGAGTTAAGCTTAGATCTACGTGGACAATGGGGTTGAGATAATAAGCAAAATCGTAACTCACCTTAGAGATAAGGATAGGGTTTCAATGACTAAAATGTGTAGAGCTTCATAGATAGTAACTTGCAATTGTTCATGTTGAGAGGTATTTCTTTAGCATTTTCACTGTCATGTTTCTTACTAGCGATAGCCTACTAAACTCTATCGAGCAAAATATTAATAGAAAATGTTAACCATTCTTTAAGACAAGATATAAGATTCCATAATAGATCCAGCCTTTTATCCTTCTTGAGAGCTTTGTTTGTGTGAGGTTTGTCTTGCTGTCTTATCTCATAACCCAATTATTAACTCAGTTTTGCTATAACATTCCTTTATTCACATTTTTGTTACAACATTCCACACTTATAATTTTGCCACAACATTCATATCTCTTGATTCATAACATTCATATAAATTATTTGTTTATACTTTTTAGGTGCATATACTTAACTTAATTTCCCTCTAAGCCCTGTGGAGACAATACTCACTTATCACTATTATTACTTGTTTGATGTGTATACTTGCACAATTTACGTATCATAATTTATTAAACTCACAAACACGCAACATGTCTTCATTATGATAATCTTGAGGCATTAAATGAAGAAGTTATGACAGGCTTATTCGATTGCATTGCAAGGTTAAATTCAAATATTGAAATTCAAGATAAGATCATTGGAGAATTGAAGATATATAAAAAAAACACATGGTCTTTTTGACTTATCAATGGCCATTAAACTATGGAAGACAATCTCCAGGTATTAAATTTAAAAGTTATAGTAATTTATAATATTATCTTATATTTAAAAGTTTTTGAATTCACCATACACTAACATAAAGCTTATATGATGTTTGACTTTTGTTTTAACAAAAAACTGGTGGTATATATTTGGAGCATCGGCTCCCAATCTTCAAAAGTTTGCCATAAGAGTTCTCAGTCTCACTTGTAGGGCCACCGGTTGCGAGAGAAATTTGAGTGTTTTTCAGCTAGTAAGAAACTCTTTTTTTTTATATTTTTTTCACTTTCATAACTTTAAGTATTTAATAACATATATAAAATGTTACTTCTTACAGCTTCATACAAAGACTAGAAACATATTGACACAAAGTCGGTTGAATGATTTGATGTTTGTAAAATATAATAGTGCATTAAAACGTCGATACCAAAGGAATGACACCATCGACCCTATTCTCTTAGAGGATGTTGATGAGAGTAACGAGTGGTTACTTGGAAGAATGGAAGATGACATAGACAATGAAGATGATTTTGCGTTTAATGATGATGACCCGACACGGAGTCAAGTTAGTAGAGCTGTCGGAGTACACGATACTAGTTATTTGACTAGAGCATCAAGGATTGTATATGAAAGTTTTGCACCTTCTTCCAAATTTGGGAAGGGAAAAGGTGTAACTTCTAGCTCTACTTCTAGATCGGCTTCCACTCCGATGCATGATGATGATAAGATAGAAAAGGATATTGGTGATAATGAACAATATGATAGCAATGATAAAGATGATTACGAGGAGGATGATGATTTGGAGTGATGATGTATTGATGTAGTTGTTTACTACTTTGCTTTGCTTTTTGTTTAAGTCTCACAACTCGGAACATTATGATGATGATAATTGCTTTCCTTTTTATTTCTTCTATTTGAACTATTTTTTATGTTAGTTTGTGTGTTGTTAGTTAATACTTGATAGTGCAATAATATTGAATGTTTTGATCTTTAAAGAACTATAATATTAATTATCATGTAATTTTGAGTACAAAATATAATTTATATTTGATCTATATCATATAGTACAAATAGTGCACCTCGAATAAGAAAGGTGCACGTCTACGTCTTGCGCCTAGGCTCCAGAGACCTTTTGCGCCTTACACCCTTAAAAACCAAGGTGTGTATATGTATGAATGTCATTTGTAAAGTTTATTCTGAGATGAATTGAAAGAAATATTTTGAACAAAATGAACATAAAAATTTTGATCATATTCGTTCATTCAGCTTAATAAATTAACGGTATACAAACAATTCATTATATTCTCTATTTATTTTCACCCCTACATCAAAGTCAATTATTAGTTCAGATATTATATCAAAACCCATCTATTGCATGCTATTCTGCATCATTACATACGAATTGAAACAAGATTACAGCTCAATTTAGGTTTACAGAATATAATGGAACAACGTCCTAACTGATCGGTTCCCGTATACAGAAACTCGAAAGCAGAGAGAATATAGTTGAAGCCATACATAGGTTCAGTAATCAGGGTCCAAGCCTTTGGAGCCAGGGATATCAACACACTCCACTTGGATCAACACTTGCCCACTTTCAACATCATTGAGTTTGAGACGCATCTTTTGGGTGATCCTCCCATCCTCCAAAATTATGCTGCTCTCATCAGCCAGGTCGTTTGTCCCCGATGGTTGTAGTTTCTGCAGTGCAACGCCGTTCGGGAGTTCTCCCAAGCTCTTCCTCAACCTCACTGCCTCTACGTACGGCTGAATGTCGATCACCGCGGTTCCCATCGCATCGTCGTCGCTGAACGTATCCTTGTCGAACACCGTCTGCAAATCGAAGCGAATTCCATGGAAGTTGCAGTGAATGGTATGCATAGAAACTGTAGATTTGGTACGGTGGAATCAGATGTTACTTACCAAAGTGATTGGAGCATTAAGATCTTTGATAGGGAGAGTTAATTCATCGTTCCACTCCGGATTGCAGTTTTTCTTCACAAATCGGGTCTTCACTTTCTGCAAAGTTTATTGTCAGAGAAATCAACAACCCTATACTCTGTTCATCGAAAGGCCCTAAATTATGACAAACTTTGGTGACCTTTTTAAGCAAAAATTAATGACAATCCCTTCAGATGAAATTTGTCAAAAGACGCTAAGCCTGAGATGAAGGGAAACACAACAAACCTGTCCAGCCGTGCTGATGACAACGTAAGGATCACTGGTACCCGATATCTTATCACGAACAGCAAGATTGAAGCCTTTTATGACCTTGATTCTGAGAAGTCCCAACGCATCCATTTCAACAAAACAAAGGCTTCTTTTACTTGGTCTCTCTTAGAAAAATAGGAATAATGACGTACTAGAAAACCCTATAAAATCGTATATGGTTCCTCTAGAGGAATCTTTAATTTCCACCGTCGATAGACCCGGCCTTGAGTGCAATGTGTGTGGTTCAGGCACTTTCACAAATAACAGAAAAAGCCAAAATGCAGTCAAATAGCATCAATATTTTTATATATAAATGTGTGGTTCACTGCTACACTTGGCTCTGCTATTTGGTTTTGTTATGTTCTTAAGGTTTGTGTGATCCGACGTTCGGAATAATTTGCAACCAATGGTCCCATATATATATATATATTAAGATTTATGCATGAAAAGCAACCACAACAATGAAAAAGTCATTGTTATTTCTTAAGATTAACCGAATATATTTTGTTCATGTTCGTTCATTTGATAAATAAACGAACATAAACGAACACGAACATAAACGTTGGAGACCCGACCTTCCATTGTTTTTTCATGAAAAATAGTCGACAATTGAAATCAACCAAATCTACAATGATAAATAGCGTAAGAGCTGATTAGCAGTGATGAAATGTTTGAAGATATCAGATATTTCGATCGATTTTTTAAAGATATTAAATGATTCACAGGACTTTAATTTAACGCTATAACATTTATCTTAGTGGTTCATGATTACATATGAACAATCATTTTCCACTACGTTATTCTAATAAATTCGTCGGCTAAAAGTTTTGTGACATCAATGTCAGACTTTAGTTAGATTTGTTAATAATGGTTATTTCCGTTGGCAGAGTAGAAAATTTAACAGCATGAAGATTTCGAACGATACAAATTGGACTACAAGGCAATAACATAGATCCGAAATCCCTCCGACGCTACATATCGTAACTGATATTATTGCTAAACCACCATTCAAAATTTTAACGTACCTAAAGTCTACTCCACAACTAAATGTCACACAAGAACTATGAAAACAAAAGTTCATTGTCAAAGTGTATTTTCTACTTATTAATGGGTTCTTCTTGGAAAACACATTACTTCCACTATTACTCTCTTTTTCAGAAATTGCATAGAAGATTGGGTTAAACATAAATGAACGAACATAAACGAACATAACCGAACGTTCACGAACGTAAATGAACGAACGAGACCTATGTTCGCGTTCATTCATTTAATTAAACGAACACAAAATCTTGTTCATGTTCGTTCATTTAATAAATAAACGCACATAAACGAACTTCCCGCCTCACGGTTCATGAACGGTTCGCTGAACGTTCAGTTCATTTACAGGCCTAATTACTGGCAATGGCAGAACTATTAAAAGACTAGAAGGCCCCCTCCGCCATTTTTTTTTATAAAATATATAAGTATATAATAAGTTAATTTTTTAATATATATATATATATATATATATATATATAATTCTTAAGTTAATTTTAAAAAAATATTTAATAAGCATGTATAACATATTAGAATTTAAAAGTTACTTGAATATCATTTTTTATAAAATAATTAACAACCATTTTTTGTATTATTATTTTATTCGTAAATAACTGAAAATTTATTTTTCTTTATCATTTATGATTTCAAGATATAAAAAAATTGTATTTTTCCTTGTTCAGTTATTCATATTCTTTGAGTTGAGGACTTTAATCAAGTTATCGAGTGTTCGACTATTAATTTCATTTTAGTTGAATGTAATTTTCTCAAATATTTTTCAATTCAAGTTATATTTATGGTTTTATTTCAAATATCTATATTTATTATGTTTGTTCATGAATTTTCATCTCCATAATAAAAATTTAAGTAATTTGATTTGTACAAATTTATTTAATAAGTAAATACTCTTTAAAAAAATCTTATAAAATAAGATTCCTTAACAAACAAGTATATGATTCTATAAATATAGAATATGTTTGAATCTTTATAATAATGAGAGAAATTATTTTGAAGTGATTTTAGATATTTCAAGTTTTGATATAGATATTGAATTTTAGTATAAATATGGTATCATATATTTTTATCATTCATAATCTCTACATTTGTAATGAATTATTATTTTTCTTGCAGAGGTAAACAAGATAATTTACGTTAAATCTTATTTCTTACACATATCTTATTTTATGATAATCTATTTTGATTATTTTTCGTTTTCAAATTTCTAATATTATATAAAGTAAATTATACTATTGACCACTTAACTATTATCTCTTTTCATTTTGACCATAATTTTTGAAATTTTTTCAATTAGATCACCCAACTATTTAAATGCATTCAATCAAGTCACTTGTAGTTAACATTTAACGAGAGTACTAACATGACAATTAACAAAATTGGCATAATTACACATTTAGTATTCGTTCTTACACATTCTATCAAAATTTTAATATATTTAGGCCTCGTTTAACGTGGTTTTCTAAAAGCACTTTTATATAAAAAGTCTTTTTTGACTACAAAATCAATGTCAAAAGGGTAATAAATGAAAAAAAAATTGTGATAGAAATGGTGATTTCAAACCAACCGCAAAAGCTAGGATTTGTAGCTTTTTCATTTTCAACTTTACGTTTAGAAGAAAATTATAATTTTACTCTTACTAATTATTATTTCGTCTATCCACATGTTAAAAAGTATTTATAATATATTTTCTAATAAAATATTTCTTTTATAAAGTATTATTAATGAGTTATCTTAAAATAATTTTTATATTTTTATTATAGATTATGCTGATATATTTTATATATCATAGTATTAATAAGTGTAAATATAATTTTAATTCTATATTTTTAATTTGCAACATAATGTCTATAATGGACACTTTATCTTTTCAAACTCACTTTTTAACAACAATGTCAAACAGTTAAATTTTAAACTTCAATTTTAAAAATTTTGCTCAACTGAGCTGCACTTTCCCTCCCTCTTATCTCCCTCTTTTCTTTTCCTTTTCCCTTTTTTACATTTTGTCATTTTATATAGATCAAATCAACTCCTTCTTTGATTTTGTTTAGTTGTCTGCGACACTATTTTTTATTTTGGTTGCCGACAGCTAGTTGTCTTTTCTTTTTATTTCTTTTTTAGTTTTTAAAAAAGAATAATTCTGGTTTTGTGACACGTTTATCTATGCCTTTGTGGCACTTTTTTTGCCTTTTAGTAGTTTTCGGTTGTCTGTCCATTGTTTTCATTTGGCCTTTGTGGCACCGATATTTTGGCATGCCAATAGTACCTACGACTCTCAATGCAACATACAATGGACTTTCAAATATTATCATATTCATTTATCAATCAAACATTCAAATCTGTATCATTTTCAACACATCATTATCGAAATAAGAACTTGGGCAGTTCATACCCTAAAACATTTCATAAAACATTTTAATAACATTATGGAAATATTCCATAATTAAAAATTAAACCATTCTTTAAAAATATACGAGGTTGACTTACCGCAAGTCTTCCTCAATCATAACAACAAAATAACACCTTTGCCTCACTACTGAACCTTTTATATGATATTCTTTTACTTGCATGCTTTTTCCTTCCCTTTCGAATTGCTAGGATTGCAAGGTTTGTCGTAGTCTGTACGTCATCGCATACATAACAAAAAGTATTCAAACTATATGTTAGTATTATACTAACATAATCTAAACTCAATGATATAAAATTCTATAAAATAAAATCGATACTTAATCGATATAAAACCAATTCACTATTCCATAGTTTCTTCAACCTTTCCAAAATAGCTATTCAATTCCATAAATATTCAATTTTCATCATCAATTTTTTAACTTTCATAAACTTTTCATTTAAGTCACCATTTATGAATTCTCTTTAGAATTCACATCAGCTTTTCCATTTAGCTCATCCTTCATCATTCCCACTTATCTTAAGTCAAACACTAAAATTTCCAGCATTGTAGTATCATACTCAATTAGTACTTTCACATTTCAAAAACTTACAATTAAGTCCCCTAACTATCAAGTCCATTCGAATTTCACCAAATTTGCACTTTGGTCCCAAATCAATATTCTAACTTAAAATTCAATATTCAGCAATTAAATTTCAACATTGAATACTCATAATTGAACAATTTCTCAGCAATGTCTCATAATTCCCAAAACATGCAAAATGGTCCTTGCACTATCCCAAGGTTCCAAATTGATCCAATTGAATCTCTAAATCATGTAGAACTCATCTAATATCAATTCTAAACGATAGGAAATTTTTGAACATTTTCCACTATTATTATCCCTATGGTCGAATATCATTGGTACACTAGGGTAAACATTTCATTCATTTCTACGCATGAATTCAAGGTACTATGATTGAATTCTTGCTACTCCAATCATCCTAACATCAAATTCAATTAAAATTCAACCAATCTATATAAACCCTAGCCATGGTCGAATTTCATATAAGCTTCTATACTTGATTTTAATCATCACTCATGCTTTAGAATTAATCTACAACATCAATAATATAAAAACCATCCATCAACTCATCAAAATCCAAAATGTTCTTCAACCACCCAATTCATAAAACTCATCATCCAAGCATTGTAACACCCCAATTTAGGGGCTAAATATTAAGAAATTATAAGAAATTCAGTGGCTAAACCCATGATTTAACCATTTCTTATATATGATGAATTATAAGCTCTTCCCCGTGCGTAGGTTCTCAAATTTTCCAGATTTCCCTTCTCCAACAACCCTCCTTCCAACTACGATCTACTCGTCGTCCGACCTCCAATCGACGAGCCGAAACCACCATCGTGTTCATTGTCAACCGAGGAACAAAACCCTTCAAACCTTTTGTCGTGAATCGTCACCGTTCGTCGTTAATTTCAATCGGAAGTATCATCGGTAATAACTCGATTTTAGTTGGTTTTTCATCGATTCACGACGATCGGGTCATCCGTTTATGACACCTCTTGCACCATCGTGTTCCTTGCATCGTTCTGAGTCCGCCGGTGTCATCCTTGGTCTCCGTCAACGGTGACGCGTGAGGAGGTGAAGCGGTCAAAGTTTCCGATTCGTTGAAATCGAGCTCTCCGCCGTTCAAA